ACACACACACACACACACACACACACACACACACACACACACACACACGCTGACCCAGGAGTTGAAGTGCTGAACCTGAACCACCATCAGTCTGGCTGGAGATCCTCGTTTTATGTTGTTCCCCATCTCTCAATTTGTGCGACTATATCAGAGAAACTGTGGATTTCAGCAGAGGTGGAGTGGAATAAATCCAAGTACCTGCGGTGAATCAAGGGTCGGAGGACAGAGGGTGTACATGCTGCATAAAATTGTGATTTGTAATAACTAAAATTTACATAACTCAGTCTTCATGCACCCATTAGTATTTCCTTCTAACAGACTTCAATTATTTCAAACAGCAGGTGTAGGGAACAAAAACTGTTTCCTGATGTTGCGCCTCAAAGTTTGTACAAATATTACACAAAACAACACAGAGATCTGCAGCAACATGTACTTTTTCAGTTGTGACCCCATGAGAGTTCTGGTTATTTTGTGCCCACTATGCTGTGGCTCTTGTTTCGTTAAAGTCCGACTAACACGAGCGCACATCTCCACCAAGGCCCAACAGTCTCCTTATTCAATCAAACTGCACATTTCACACACTCATGGATATACAGTAAGTCCCCTAAAAGTGCTTGATTCTTTCAAGATCTATGAATTATTCCATGAAAAAAATCGACAAAAATTATATGTTGTTAAAGAAAGTGAAAAAACATTCCTAGATCTCTGAACCCTGATCAGAGCACCAAATCTTGTGGTTATTCCCCAGAAGTTATTATCTGTGAGCTGCTTCACTGTATTGAAACACAGGTTTTTCAATTTTCAATTAATACATTTCCTGTACTAAAGAACAATGTGCATCACACATGTTGTTAGGTCTGTATTGCTGTCTAACAGAAACAGAAACAGTAAAGGCATAAAGGAATATTCATATTTAGAGTATTAGTTAAAAAAAACCTTCATTCTAACTGCCACCTTTGCTTTGTTATTAAAGTCACTAAATAACAGACAAAAAAGATTTAAGTGAAGTTAGAGAACAAGTTTAAAGGGTAAATTGGCTGAATTCCTCTTTAAAATCTAAAATACTGAAATGGAAGGTGAATAGTTTTAACACAGCCATAATGTCATTATGGTGTCTCTACAGTTTGATTGTTACCGTTCATACCATTTAGTCTTTGAATCTGGGTTGAGCCCAGTTCACAGGGACGTGGCATAAACAGAAACGACTCTGTCTGTTTATTGCTGCCTTTTGTATAGAGCGATTGCTTTTTAAATTGTAATGTCTGCAGCAGGCACCTGTATAATGAAGCTTATTCTTAAATCTTAAAAAATAACAGGATGGAAGACAGGGACCAGACATATGGGCTGTTTGGAAATAGCTTTGTTTGATTTCACACTATTAGACTTTCTCTATTTATCGTTCATGTGTTCTGTTTGTGTGTGTGTGTGTGTGTGTGTTGCTGTATTTTATGCTGATGGTGAACAGAAGAGGACACAGGGACAGGTTCAGGGGACAGCTTTGTGTTTTAGGGGGTATCCCTGCTGGGGTAATGTGTTTAAAATCTATTACCCCCACAGCTAGGATTAGTGTGTGTGTGTGTGTGTGTGTGTGTTTCCCCTAAAGACGTAATCACTATGGTAATACAAAAGCCAATGGATTATGTGGTGGTGAAATTCTGGTTGATTTATACTCTGCCTTTGGTGAGATACACATATACAGTATATAAACATACTGGTATTGAGCTGGAGACATTTTTTTATTCGTTGCCTCTTTCTCTCTCAGATATTTTGCATCTTGGTGCGTTAACGTTTTTTTCGCTGTCGCCTCTAAATGAAAAGTTCCTGCTCTCAGACCCGGCTCTTTCATCAGCCTCCGCTTGGTGTATTTATTGTCCCAGCTCGTTTGTTAAAAAGGGAAGTTTGTCAGTCAAATTAACAGGAAACGGATTTTCTGAGTCCTGTGACTAAAGTAGTCCGACTGCAGGATTTGAACAGAGTAAAACATTAATGAAACTACAAGTTATTAAACTATGTGATGATTCAGCTTTTCTATTGCAGTTCATCCTGGTGCATATACCATATACTAGTCTCACTCTCTTTCATTCATTTCTTTCAATACTTTCATCCCTCTATCCCTCAGGGGGAGTAATAGTGGTATCTTTCGGTAAAGGACCAGAGCAAGGCCGCGGTCAATAATTAATTGAAATCCCTTCATTTACTTAAGATCTTAGTGTATCTGCTACGCCCTAGGCGAAAATGGGCAAAGTTTGCACTTAAGTACTGTCCAACTGGTACTATATAATATGCTGAGCAAGACAAATCAGTTGCAGCGAAATAACACTTTTCTGATGTTATTTGACTCTGGCCATGCAGAAATACTAGTAGATGAATGAAATTGATTTCTTGTCTGTTCTTTTAAAAACTAGAATTTCAAATGTAAAAAAGTAAATAAAAACACTGTCAGTAGTGACTCAAGTGAGCTGAGATACTGATTAGATGTAATCAAATAATCTTAATAAACTTTTACCAAGTGCTAACTCGCAGACATGGATACAGAGAAGGGTTATGTAGAAGCTTTACTGAGCACTTTTCTTTCTTTTAGTCTTCTGGACAAGAAAAATCCATCCGGGTGAGAGGAGGTGGTGTTTAGCAAACATGGACTGTGGACACTAAAAGCTGCTGTGGAGTTTAGCTACTGGAAAAAGATTCTGTTTAAACTGCCCTTTAGCAAGGTACTTGACCTCCAAGTGCTTAAGTTGAGTTGCACAGTGGTTAGTAATAATAGAAAGATTTGTTATTACAATAATAGAGTTCAAAATATGAATATATTTTCAAATTACAAATAGATTATCTAAGGTTGTAAAAAACTTTGATCATTTTGGAAGAACGAAAGACAAGGTCACTTTGACAATAATGAAGAAGTTGATTAATATGTTCTATAATTTATTGTTATTGACCTCAACACTTTGTCTGTTAAAACAGGAGCTAAAGCCACAGTTGCTCGCTCACATTTGAGTGGATCCACCTCTGTTAAATTGTCTGCAAACCAATTTATATTCACTTATATTCCTTTATATTCTTTCCTTCTCACTCATCCTTGAACTGTTTCATGAACTTGATTAATTTAAAACTTTTCTCTCACTTCAATAGGACATGGTGGCGTGAACCAGCTCGGAGGTGTGTTCGTAAACGGCAGGCCCCTCCCAGACGTCGTGCGACAGCGAATAGTTGAACTAGCCCACCAAGGGGTTCGGCCTTGCGACATTTCACGCCAGCTACGAGTTAGCCACGGATGTGTCAGCAAGATACTGGGCAGGTAACAAGCACACAAGGACATGGAGATGATGTGAGCTGACACGTCACAGCTCAGACAGTTGGTTTGACACCTGCCTTCATGTAGAACATCTTAAGTGTGATGTAGCTTTAAACATCTGCACCAACCATTTGCAACTTTGCACATCTCGTTCATCTTTAAGTCCTTCAACTCAACATGTGTCAAACTGAGGCTCCTGCAACGTGACACTCATTCATTTAGTGTCAATTCTGTCACTGATTCAATCCCCTCAACATGCACAAGCTGCATCTCCCAGAACTGACTGCCCTCGTTTCCCTTCACCTCTTATTTCTCTCCCTCTGTTCTCTGCCCTACCTCTTCCCCCCTTTTCACCTTTCTCTCCTCTCTCTCTGTATCCTGTATTTCTCGTACTCACCCCCCTTTTCTCCCTCTCTCTGTCTGTCTCTGCCTTTTCAAAGCTAAATTCAAGAGCAAATCCCTGCTCGTTCCGTCCCCCACAGAAGAAAGGGGCACAAAAGGGAAAAGATTCATCACTTTTTAGAATTAGCATCAAAATGAAAGTGGCACCATATTTCTGCAAACCCACCCCCCCTTAAAAAAAGGACAGGGAGATGGAGAATGGGAGAAAGACAAGAACAAGGAACACAATCAAAAGGGAAAAGGCGTGTTAAAGAAGAAGAGTGCAGGAAAAAAAGAAAAAAAAAAGGAATGAGAGACAGAGACCATTTGTGGGGACGGAGGGGAAGGATTAGCTACAGCGACCCTCAGCTATATCAAAAAATGTGTAGCTCATTGTTCTCCCTCTCTTCTCCTTCTCTCCCTCTCATTCTGTCGTTCTCTCTCTACCTTTCTCTCTCTCTCCCCCGTCCTGGCCGTTCAACTCACTGAAGCGTTACTGTGAGGGGGGAGGAGAGGGGATCGAGGGATGGAAGGAAGGAGGGAGGGTTGTTTTATCCTTTCCTCTCTGTCTCTCTGGTGCCAGCAGAACAAAAACACCAACTCTACCACCCTGTGTGTGTGCGTGCATGTGTGTGCGTGCATGTATTGGCTCATCGTCTTGCGGATATCAATAACCATGCTCGTTTATTCACCAATGATTCAGCTGTGAATAATTTAAATAGTTTTCCATTTGAAAATAGATTGTTTTTTCCTTTAGCTGTGTTTATACTCCAGCTGTGAATCGTCAAAATGTGCAACACACCCACATAGTGCAGCACGCACGCACACCCACACTTAAAAAGAAAGACAAGGAAATGCACATTTACAGGAACACACATCTTCACGGAGGGGATTACTCTACCATACAGCACGGAGAGAGAGAGAGAGAGAGAGAGAGAAGGAGAGAAAGAGGGAGAGAGAGAGTGCAGCAGGTTTAAGACTGACTGACAGCTTGCATCCACACACAGCATCCCCCCTTTTCTGCAAGCTGAGTAGCGCATTTGCTGTCCTCCCAACCCCTGCCCCCATGCCCCTTCTGCATGCAAATACATTCATGAAATAGCCATGGTGGACGAGAAACGCCTGAATCCGTGAGTGTGTGTGTTTGTGTGTCCATGCCACCCTCCTCTTACCGTGGTGTCACACTGTGAAATTGACTAAAAAAGCAACAATCATGCACAGGTGGAGTCAGGTATTAGAACTGTTTCTTTTCAGGTGTATTTACCTGTATGTTTATTCATATAAGCGACACAGTAAATGTATCTGCAGCTGGTTCTCATGACTCCAACATTACAACTAGTAAGGCTGTTCATATTTCACCTTTGGGTGAGTCCCACTGAGACCTGAGACCCAGTCTATGAGGGAGACCTGGTCAACAGCAGCATAAACTGTGTAGATATAACTAAATTTATAACAATCAGACGAAATCAATCAATCAATCAATCAATCAAATTTTATTTGTGGAACTCATATTCAAAAATCTCAACTTACTTCATGGTTCAAGGAGGTGCAACACTCTCTCTACTTTACAGTGTGCAATAGATTGATTTACTAAATGTCATTGAGAGAAGACAGCGTCTAGTTTAAATGGAGAGGTGTATCACTGTCCAAAGGTAAGAAACTAAACAGACCAAAAAGAACAAACACAAATCCAGTCCTTTGATACAGATGCTCAGCTGAATCTTATATGAGGCTTCAACAGTCTGAGTTAGAACAATCGGGTATCTTCCAAAGTTATAGTCTTTAGTATGAAATCCCCTTTTACTGTGACTCCCTTTGTCTTTGTCCTCGAGACAGAGGGAATTTCATACTAAAAAGACTGTGACTGTAACATATCCACTGAATTTGTTTGCCTTTACTGTAATTGAGGATATTTCTGCACGGAATGAGGGGTGTTTACCATCCCACGATCACTTCATTTTACTTTGTCACCATGGGCAGCAAGGACATTTGTAGCCCGTAACTCTAAATCTAAATTGACAGATGAGTATTTAATTTTTTAAGACGGACATTACATTTTTGGGAATCTTTTAAGAGACACAGAGCAGGAGAATCATCTCTTAAAAGATCAAGTGTAAGTGGAGGAGGAGGGCAAGGGTTTTGAATTAAAGCCAGAACGAGATGCTGAACAAAGTGGAAAGGTCATCGCTCTACCTCGAGAGCCAGGAGGGAAAACATATGAGACCGAGTGGAACCATGTCCAAATCACCGCCAGCAGGAGGGGAACGAAAGGGCCAGTAAAACAATAGAAAGGTGTTTTTTCTTTTAAATGTGCCAACTCTTTGTCCAACGTGACATCAGCAATGAAGAGAGGCTGATTCTTTCCGAGCCGTCACTAAAGTCATGATGTGATTTCAGCAGGGGTGTTTTTAAGTATAGTAGTATAAGTAAAGATAGAGGGATAATCAAATGACAGATTTTCAATCTATCTTCAAACCTAAGTTTGATGTAGTTGAATCCTCTGAGCTTCATCGATGTCCAGAAACCTATAAGTGACAGCTGAGGGACATCGATGTAAGATCAACCGATCAGGTCCCACGATAATGAATGTCTCAACTTCAACCTCATAAAACTGCTGAGCTTTATCAATCATCAGTGTTGACGTTGCATTCAGGACTATTAATATCACATTATTTCAAGATAATATTAAAACCACTTTAAACCTGTGGGACTTGAAACAATCCACAATTAAAATGACAGAAACCCTCCAACAGCTTTTATCTAACACTTCTAGTATCTCTGCAACCGTATCGTGTTGCTCCCTATGACCAACGTTGAACATCTGCCCTGCTTTGATTGGCAGGTACTATGAGACGGGCAGTATCCGCCCCGGGGTAATCGGGGGATCCAAACCAAAGGTTGCTACACCCAAAGTGGTCGACAAGATCGCCGATTACAAACGCCAAAACCCCACCATGTTTGCCTGGGAGATCCGGGACAGGCTCCTGGCCGAGAGAGTGTGCGACAACGACAGTGTCCCCAGCGTCAGCTCCATCAACAGGTATGAGGGTCTGGGTAATTTGTTTGTGTGTGTGTGTGTGTGTGTGAATTTATAGCAACAGGTATGGAGTGTAAGTAGAGCATGAGGAGCAGAATGCTGTTTTATGTGTGTGTGTGTGTGTGTGTGTGTGTGTGTGTGTGTGTATGTGCCAGTGGAAAAGAGAATAGCAAAGAGGCCCCAGTCTCCATATGTATGAAGTGGCTGCAGCTCAGTGGTTCAACACGATGGTACAATGACAACCCTTTCCCCTGAGCATAGAGGCAGAGAGAGGGAGGGATAGTGAAATAAGAGAGAGAAGGAGTGAGCAAAAGAGGCGGACAAAAGGGAGGGAAGGTGTGTGGGAGCAAGGAGGGAAATAGACACAGAAAGAAAGGGAAGAAAGGGGAAGGGAGGAGAGGAAGAGAAGGAGAGGAAAAGGGGAGGAAGGGAAAAAGAGGGAAGGAAAGAGGAAAAAAAGGCTTGCATGAGCAGCCAAGCAGGAAGTGTGAGGCCCCTCTGCCATGTCAGCCTGCCTCAGCCACTTCACACACACACACACACGCACACAGTTTTGCGCTCCCACGATGGTCATGTTCTCTCTGTCACTCAGAATCCTCTCTCTCTCTCTCTCTCTCTCTCTCTCTCTCACACACACACACACACACACACACACACACACACACACACACTCACTAATAACTCCTCTCTCCTCCTGCAGGATCATTCGGACTAAGGTTCAGCAGCCCGGCCAAACGGGCTCAGTGTCGGCTCACAGTTTAGGTAGGTCGCTGCAATAAAATCCTGTTTCAAACTGTCAAAGCAAATTTTACCGAGCAGATGTGGTGTGAACGTCTCAGGAGTGGAGACCGTGTGCTCGACTGTATTTTGGAGACGCATTGAAATTCTGGACCTTAGCTCACAGCAAAAAGCCTGCATGCACAGAGTGTGAGATGTTGTGTGCCACAGAGTTCAGTATTTGAATCCACAAATCATCAAAATCAAAGCCAGTTAATAAAGGAAGTAGGATTTTGTTTAGACCAGATTTTTTTTCCACCAGTGTTGCTCTTCAGCTGAGCATTGTGTGACAGTACCTTTCAACCGTATTGTCGTCTGTACAGTGGAGAGGTGACATGTAACTAAGGCTTCCTGCCACACTCAGGGGACATTGCTGTCACATGGACACAGCGTTTTAAACCAGTTCATTACCAAGGACACTTCACAAGTTCTACACAACGACAGGGCTCAAATAAAATTATGAATTTAGCAGCTGATGTTTCAGTGGGACGTTCTCCCCAAGCTTTAAACTGACAACCGTATTCCGAGCAACAATAATCAACATGAAGGCTGCTGTACAAGCCAGAGCATCGAAGCATTGTATCATAAACTTTTACATCACAAAAAGGAAGATGTTTCAGCAGCACAATACTGGATCCACAAACTTCCTCCAAAGATCTAAAACAATGTAATGCTCACTAAACAAAGCTTGTTAACACCTTCATCATAAGCACTAAAAGGTCCGGTCATTAGAGATCATGATGTTCAAAACAAGGCTGGATTATGAAGAGTGCAAAGAAGTCTGCTGCCAGAGCCTCAAGGTTCCCATTCCCTGTGCATCAGTTGGCTTTTGGTTTGAATATTTGAATATTCCAACCAAATCACCTCATCACCTGCAACTACCTTGTAGCAGCTCAGGCATGTTTGCCTCTTGTGTGTGTTGTACCTTGCAAAAAGACTTGGTGCATGTTCCTAAATGATTTTGTGTTCAACCAAGAGCCCACAGGTCAGTTCCCTTCAAATTAGAGTGAATAAACAACAATGGCAGTAACGTGTGACAATGCACACAATCATGTAATCATTAACAATCTCCAAAATCAAAAGAAGAAGAGAATCATAATAGTTATTTTTATTTGATTTTGAAATAAATAAATGTCATAAATATCCACAAACACGAATATGGATGTTCATTTAAAATATATCATGTTACATGTGAAGCAATGATATCTGTTTTAACTATATGACTAAAAGACTACTTTTTATTCAATGAATATCTCAGAGTAAATAAATATCAGCCTCCCTCTCTCGCTCCCCCGCTCCCTCTCTCACTTTGTCCTGCAGTGGATTGTGTTCCGGTGTCTCTCATATCTTCATAATCGCACATTGTCTATTAATCTAAATTAATTTCACACACACTGCTCCCTGACTCCTGCCTTTGACACACACCTAAACCCTCACACATACACACCTACACCCGCTGAGAAGCACACGCACACACACACACACACACACACACACACACGCTTACACACTCACGCACACTTACAGATTACACAGATAAATGGGTCCCACTCCCAGGCGGAAAATTGAACATTTGGATTTGCAGAATAAAAGCGTTACGTTGTGATAAAAAAAAAAAAAAAAAGACTGAAAAGAAAGAGAAAGGAAAATCAGATAATTGAAGTGCTAAATCAAGTGATGGGAAAAGGAGGGATATGCATTCATTATACTCTCCCTGTCGTTAGTGAAGGAGCAACGGCTGGAAAAGAACCTTGATCCTCTGATTTGTTGTCGTTTCTTCTTTTTTAATTTCCCCTTTTCGGTCTTGTCTTTCTGTGTTTGGGGGGTCTGCTGGGAGAGAGGATTAGGATGTCTGTCTCCACACCTTTCTGTCCCTCCTGGGATACCATACTGTCACTCAGCCCCACGTCCGCTTACAGGGGCACAGATAAGGGACCAAGGAGGAGGGAGTGACTGTATGTTTCAGTGTGTGCGTGTGTGTGAGTGTCAAGAGGTTGCATGTGTGTGTGTGCGTGTGTCACTGAAGCGGTGACAAGTATGTCGCTGTGTCGCCCAGCAAGGAACTTGTCTCCTTCAGGGGGAAGATTAGAGAGAGAGACAACATGGAGCAAAACACAGACAGTCCTCTCTCCTTTGTGGATTTTTTTTTTCTACCTTCAATTGAGTCTGTAAAGCCCAGTAAAGTTTCAGAGGATTAAAGTGCTATGTTGAATTTATGGAGAGAATAAACAGGTTATAGGATTTCTATTGTGTGTTTTTTATTCTCTACAGTATCTGTTGTCGTGAAGGCGTCACAAGTAACATGTGAATGTCGCTCTTTAAGTAAAGCAAACGTTGATGTTGTGGGGGAACGATTCAGAAATGTTTAGTTTACAGATCATTTTTGATTTTTTTAACCATGCTCAATTGTCATGCAACATCTCACATGCAAACATCTTCTACACAGCGCAACTTGTGTTGGTGAATAGTAACTTTACCAGTGTATCCTATGAAAACTCTTGACCTATCTTTACTGAGAGGCAGTGAGATTCTGTGTCTTCTTAATATTACATAATTTTTTAAATAGTACATCACTGTAGAATAAAGACCTTTTTCATTATACATGAGTCCAACAAAAAGTCGTTTTATAGCGGAGAGTTTAACCTGAATTTCTCAAAATCCCACTAAGCAATATCTGATGCAGTTTAGTCTAAAGAGCAATTATTTGCTGAGATTCTCTTGATTCGTTCAGCTCACCCACCACTGCAGGTCCTTCAATGATTTTAACAGGGTTTCATGTTTAATTGAGACAAAAGAATCAATAAGTGGAACATGGCAGCAGAGATCATTCAGGCTTCAACACTAATCCTGTCTGTGGTTGTCAGATCTTCAGGTGGATCTTTCAGTATTTATGAATTTCTGTGACAGATTTGAAATTTTCCTAAGAAATGGCATCTGAGGAAAACAAAGAAACACTTTCAGTGGTAGAAAAAACAGGAACAATCTTCTTTATTTATCTGTGAATCTTGTCAGACATCCAGGAGTCGTACAGAGACATACAGTAGACTGGACTTGCTTGTGTTTCGGCAAAATCTTCTGTGCCTTCATTACAAATTCTCATTGCATCATTCAAACTGTTTCTGTTGTGGTGTGATCTGTCCGCAGCGACATCCGTGGCCGCCACACAGGTCTCAGGAGTGACCAGCGACTCGGCTGGCTCCTCGTACTCCATCAGTGGAATTCTGGGTATCAGTTCAGCCGCTGATGTGGGCAAGAGGAAGAGGGACGAAGGTGAGCACAGGAATGTTTTTGTATATTCTTGCAAATGATTGAATTTTACAGTGTGAATCTGCAAATATGCATTTATTCCTATGTGCACGTATATAATTAGACAACACACGTAAACACATTATTTGCCGATAGACAGCCTCAGAACCCATCCTCCATACCAGCATGGAAACATATTCAGCAAATGGGGATCCATGACAGATGTATGTGTGTGTGTGTGTGTGTGTGTGTGTGTGTGTGTGTGTGTGTGTGTTATGTTCTTAGCCAAACATCTTCATTCTGGAATCCCTATTTATTAACTAACAGAGCTTCACTGGTGAACTCCCAGAGAAGTTAGTTTTATGTATGCACTATTGATCATATATACGCTGTGAGCTGGATCAATGTTATATGCATGTTAATAGAGGTGTGAGCTCATGAATGTGTGTGCACGTGAGGGGGCTTTCACCACTACGGTATGAGCATGTTTGTGTGCCTGGGTGTGTATGTGGCCGAGTCAGTGGCATTAAAAAGCCATCACACAGACAGTCTCCTGCGGTAAATGAGACAGGACCAGATGTCGGAGCGAGGGGGGGTGACAGAACGCCACCAGGGGCTATTTCTCGCTCACTTTCACACACTCTCACACAAATATATATACACACACACACACACATGTACACACACACAGATACAGTATGGGGTCCTTTTCCCACTGCTGATGAATTTCCAAAACACGTCAGCAGGTTCCAGGATGAATCCCAGGTGCATCTTGAGTGCTCTGATACCACCCACTTACCCATCAAGTTTGACACACACACACACACACACACACACACACACACACACACACACACGGAGTACAGATGAATAATGATGTTTGTTCTGCAGACCTTTGCTTTCTCCACACAAGGGTAGCTGATCAGTTCACATTGTTCAACAAAAGTTTTTATCCCTCAATATTTTACAGTTTTTAGCTCAGATGAAGGTCAGTACAAAGTTGGATACGTTTCTGGGTTATCCTCTGAGATATAAAGTGTTTTTTAAATACACATTTAAAAGGAGAAATGCTAGAAATTGTCGAGGTGAAAATGTATACACGAGGCAAGTGACTAACTGCAGTTTCTGCTGCATTCAAGAGACAAAACATCAGATGATGAAATATCATTCACTGAATTTCTTTCTTTTTAATTCCGTCATTTCAATGCGCCCTGTTATATATCAATGGGTTGATGGCACCTGACTGGAGAATCAGCGTCACATTATTTTCCTTTTCATAGCAGATATTTAGATTTTGTTATAGGAGGAATAGAACAGGTGAAGAAGATGAACACGCTGACATGGTTTACAAAGAGAGGAGCCATCAGTATTATTTCCAGCTGTGCTTTTCCTGCTATAATAGGTCAAATCCTCTGCTGTGACACAGGTCTTTCTAGGAGTCTATATCTCACTGACAAGAATTATGGGTTGCTCACTGTTATGGGCTGTAATAGTGTCTGTGGCAAAGACTTTGTGGTTCAAGTAAAATCTCTGTATTCTAATTAGCAGCATTATTACTTCACTTTGTTCTTTATGTGCATGATGTGTTGCACCATGTGCTACATGTGTGGTCTATTTGTGTTTCACTACAAGTGGACCTTGTGTTTCGTAATTCATATCGAGAACATGGTATCCCTTCACGTTTCACTGGAGCATTCACAGAGCATCATCTGAGCGTTGTGTCGCAGAGCGTCACAGTTTTACTCGTGTGTGTTTTATCTGCAGTGTTTCTGTGGCAGAGGTCTGCGCGGTTGGCTCTGTGGTCTAATTAACAGCATTGCTAATCACAGCTTCCATTAGAGCAGCCCCCGCTGGATAATGACACACACACACAGCAAGGGGCGACAGGGGGAACAGCATGCGCTGACATGGACAGACAAACACATACATAAACACACAATAATGCAAAGCTTCTCAAACACACACACACACACACCCATATGCTTGACTGTACACAGATGGAAAAAAGACACAAACATGTGAGACCAACACTCACACAGCGTTCTCTTGTTGACTTTGTTGTTAAATCTGTTTCTGTGCAGCTAAATTTGTCACATATAGTAATACACAGTCACAGCCTCTGTGTCTTTCATGTACCTCAGTGCATCAGACCAGGTTCAAACCTCAACCTCACATATGTGAAAAAAAAGATTCAGGAAAAAAGCAAAAGAATTCCATTTAGTTTTGTCTTCTGTGTGACCTTGATACAGACCAGGAAAAACTGGTATCACCTCCTTCAACACTTGGATAGAACTGACTTTATTAATACGATCTTACTTATTAATTCCATGATTACTAAAAATGCTTTGAAAGCTCCAAATCATGTTTTATCGTATTGTGGCGTATCGTATCACATCATATCGTGTTTTATCGTATCATATAGAGTCATGATGTATTGTATCGTATCATTGTCTCGTATCATGTTCTATTGTATCATATGGCGACGTATCATATCGTGTAGTATCGTGTTGTACTGTATCATACTTGATCACACTGTAACATCTTGGGTTGTATTGTATCGTGTCATCATGATGTGTTGCAGGAAACCTCTCATTTCTGCTGTAATGCATATAGTATAGAAATGCCAGCTGTGCAAGTGATGGGAACACAGGAAGGGTCTGTGTGTGTACTGGCAGCAGGAGTGTGTGGGGGTAAAGCCCTGTGGTGACCTGTGGCCCCAGCCAAAGAGAGGGGAAGTGGGGGTCTGACCGGGGACAGAATGTAGATGAATGGAAGTGAATGGAAGAACTTGACTTGTGGGGCCAAAAGGGGACTATTGTATCTTAACCTATTCTCTTACACACAGAGGCCATGTGTGTGTGTGTGTGTGTGTGTGTGTGTGTGTGTGTAGCATACATGTGGAGGGCAGAACAGGTGGTTTCAGTTATTGAAGGAAATGTTTCTTTCTCTTTATGTTTGAAGGTAAATCATAAACTGCATACTGTAAACACTGGTTGTTAGACAGAGACTTTCGCATAAAGAAGAAATAGTGTCAGTGGCATTTACCCAGAATGCCATGTTGACCTCTCACCCTCTTGTGCATCCACTGTGACATGCAGCAGCTTACCAGATAAAAGACGCTGGGAGCAAGCAAGAGACGGAGGACCGAGGCGAGGAGGGAGGGGAGCTCCGCCCTTCACCCTGAGCTCCTCTGGGTGCCTCCCTCCACTGAAAACTTTGATCTTTGAGTTGAGATGGAGAACACACACACACACACACA